TTCCTTCCTTCCTTCCTTCCTTCCTTCCTTCCTTCCTTCCTTCCTTCCTTTTTTTTTCTTTTTGAGACGAATTCTCACTCTGTCATCCACATTGGAAGGCAGTGTTACAATCTTGGCTCACTGCAAACTCCACCTCCTGGGTTCAAGAGATTCTCCTGAATTAGCCTCCCCAGTAGCTGGAACTACAGGCATCCGCCACCACGCCCACTAATTTTTTTGTTTTTAGTAGAGATGGGGTTTCACCATATTGGCCAGGTTGGTCTTGAACTCCTGACCTTGTGATCCACCTGCTTCGGCCTCCCAAAGTGATGGGATTATAGATGTGAGCCACCGTGCCTGGCTGAGATCAACTTTTTAAGACTCTATATGAGTGAGATCATGCAGTGTTTACCTTTTGTTTTAGAAACAAAGATATCATTATTAATGTGTTCCTTACCACATTTGAGGAGTTGAGTCTTATTATTGCATTATTAGTGACAAAATTTGACTTGGAAACTACTTCTGATTCTTCTCTTTCCTAGGAGGACTTAGTGCATACAATTGGCGAAAGTGCTGCATTGGGGGCAGCAGGAGTAATATTGTGGGGAGGATATGAATATTCTGCTTCAAAGGTAAGCAATGATTTTTCTGGCAGCATCTTGAATATACTTTAGAGATTGGTTAAAAAAAAGTTTTTTTTTTGTTTGTTTTTTTTTCCACATCAGGTTACTGATTATCTGCTTACTTGACCTTAGTGAAATTCAAAACCTACAGGGTCTAAGAGTGAGCACCTACCCTATACCAGCCATTGTGGTTAGTAGAAGGATAGAAAGAGTACAGTCATTCAATCAGATGGCCAAGTGAGAAACTGATATTTATTGCCTAAGGGTGTAATTTTGACCATGTTAATTTACATTTCTTAGTCTCAGCTTCTCCATCTAAAAAACCAGACTAAAATAAAACCTCCTCTGCAGGATTTTGGTAGATTAAATGCCATAATACATATGTGACAAAGAAAAAAATAACAAATTTTAAAAATGAATAATTATTTCATTTGCACTAAGGAGGGCAGATTCTCCAAAAATGATAAATTATTCTTTTTTATTTTTGTTTTTTGTTTTTTGAGGCAGAGTCTCATTCTGTCACCCAGGCTGGAGTGCTGTGGCATGATCTCGGCTCATTGCAACCTCCGCCTCTCAGGTACAAGTTATTATCGTGACTCAGCTTCCTGACTAGCTGGGATTACAGGCTTGTTTCACCATGCCTGGCTTATTTTTTTTTTGTATTTTTAGTAGAGACAGGGTTTTGTTTTGCTGGCCAGGCTTGTCTCAAACTCCTGGCCTCAAGCTATCCACCTGCTTTGGCTTCCTAAAGTGCTGGGATTACAGGTGTGAGCCACTGTACCTGGCCCAAAAATGATGGTTTACTTTGCTAATTACCTATTATAGAAATGCATGTGGGAAAAAATCTATTTGTATATAAAGATTTATTAACACTCTACTCTTTCTTTTGTTATAAGAACACGTAATACATAATATGAAACCTTCCCTCTTAACAAATTTTGGAATGCTTAATACATTATTAACTATAGACACTATGTTGTATAGGACCTCTCGAATTTATTTATCTAGTACAGCAGAAACTTTACAACTTTTAGATAACAAGTTCCCATTTCTCCCACCCTCAGCCCCTGACAACTACTACCGTATTCTCTGCTGCTATGAGTTTGACTATTTTCGATCCCTTGTAAGTAGAATCATGCAGCACTTGTCCTTCTGTGACTGCCTTAGTTCACAAAGAATAATGTCCTCCAGGTTCATCTGGTTGTCACAAATGACAGTATTTCCTTATTTTTAAAAGCTAATATTTCATTGTATGTATATACTGAATTATCTTCATTTATCTGTCAACAGGTACTTGCATTGTTTTCATTTCTTGGCTATTGTTTATAGTGCTGCAAAATACATAGGAATGCAGACCTCTCTTTGAGATTTTGATTTCACTTATTTTATATACCCAGAAGTATATATGCCTATATGCGGAATCATATAGTAGTTATATTTAGAATTTTTTGAGGAACTTCCATACTGTTTTCCATAGCTGTTGTACCTTCTAACATTCCCATCGGCAGGGTACAGGGTTCTCATTTCTCTACAACTTCAACACTGGTTATCTTATTTTTTTAAATAATAGCCATCCTAACAGGTGTGAGGAGATAGCTCATTGTTTTGATTTACATTTTCCCGATAATTAATGATTTTGAGCTTCTTTTCATATATCTGTTACCTCTTTGTATGTCTTCTTTGGAGAAATGTTTGTTCAAGTCCTTTGCTTAATTTTTGATTGTGTTATTTGGATTTTTCGCTGAGTTGTAGAAGTTCCTTATATATTTTGGATATTGACCTCTTATCAGATATATGGTTTGAAAATATTTCTACTGTTCCACAGATTGTCTCTTCACACTGATGTTTCTTTTGCTGTGTAAAAGCTTTTTAATTTGATGCATCCCATTTGTCCATTTTTGTTTTTGTCGCCTGTTCTTTCAGTGTCATGTCCAAGAAATAACTGCCAACACGAATGTCAAGAGGCTTTCCCCCTGTGTTTTCTTCTAGGAGTTTTACAGTTTTAGGTCTAACATTAAGTAAATCTTTAGTCCATTTTGAATTGACTTTTGTGTGTGGTGTAAGATAAGGGTCCAATTTCACTTTTGGGCTTATGGATATCCGGTTTTCTCAACCCCGTTTGTTGAAGAGACTATCCTTTCTCTACTGTGTTCTTGGCACTGTTGTCAAAGATCAGTTGATCATATATGCGTTGGTTTACTTCCGGACTCTATTCTGTTCCTGTGACTTGTATGTCTTCTTTTACGCCAGTAACATAATGTAATTATTGTAGAGTTGTAATGTATTTTTAAACTTGGAAATGTGAAGCCTCCAGCTTTGTTCTTCTTTCTCAAGATTACTTTGGCTACACTGGGCATTTTGTGGTTCTATATAAAGTTTAGTTTTTTGTTTTCTATTTCTGCAAAAAATGCCATTGTGATTTTGAAGAAGATAGCATCAAATTTGCAGATCATTTTGGGTAATCGACATTTTAACAATATTAAGTTCTTTTATCCATAAACATAGGTTGTCTTTTATTTATGTCTCCTTTAATTTCTTTTATCAATATTAAATAGTTTTTGAGTACAAGTCTTTCACTTTTTTGGTTAAGTTTATTCCTAAGTATTTTATTATTTTAAATGGTATTGTAAATAGAATTGTTTTCTGTTTCCTTTTCAGGTGATTCACTAATTAGTGTATAGAAATTCAGCTAATTTTTATGTTGACTTTGTAACTTGCACTCTTATAATTTCTTTCTTTATTCCTTATGACATTTTTGTGGGGTCTTTAGAATTTTCTACCTATAGAATTATGTCACCTGCAACAAGGCTAATTTTAAATTTAGTTTCATTTTTATTTCTTGCCTAACTGCTCTCGCTAGGACTTCTAGTACTATGTTGAGTAGAAGTGGTCAGAGTTGGCTGGATGAGATAGCTCATGCTTATAATCCCAGCACTTTGGGAAACTGAGGCAGGAGGATCGCTTGAGGCCAGGAGTACAAACCCAGCCTGGGCAACATAGTGAGATCCAGTCTCTACAAAAAGTGAAAAAGAAAGCCAGGTGTGGTGGTGTGTACCTGTGGTCCTAGCTTCTCAGGAGGCTAAGGCAGGGGGATGATTTGAACCCAGGAGTTCAAAGCCGTAGTGAGCTATGATTATGCTAGTGCACTTCAGCCTGGGTGACAGAGTGAGACTCCATCTCTTAAAGAAAATTAATTAAATTAAAATGAATGAAAGAGAAATGATTAGAGGGAGTATCCTTGAGTTATTTCTGATCTCAGAGAAAAAGCTTTCAACTTTTCATCATTGATTATGAAGTTAGCTATGGTCTTGTCATATGTGGCCTTTATATGTTGTGGTACATTCTTTCTACATCTATTGTTTTAAGAGCTTTTACTATGAAGGGGTGTTAAATTTTTTTAAATGCTTTTTCTGCAGCTAGTAAGATGATCATATGATTTTTATTTTTCATTTTGTTTGTGTAGTATATCACATTTATTAATATATGTGTGTGTTGAATCATCCTTGCATCCCAGGGACAAATCCTATTGGATCATGGTGTATGATACATTTAATGTGCTGTTGAATTAGGTTTGCTAGTATTTTGTAGAGGATTTTTGCATCCAGTTTCATCAGGGATATTGGCCTGTAATTTTCTTTTCTTATAGCATCTTTTCCTTGCTTTGGCATCAGGGTAATGCTGGCATCATAAAGTGACTTTGAAAACGTTTCCTTTTCATCCATTTTTTTGAAGAGTTGGAAAAAGATTAGCATTAACTTTTTTAAAATGTTTGTCAGAATTCACTGGTGAAGCTTTCAGGTCTGGGGCTCTTCTCGTAGCAAGGTTTTTGATTAACGATTCAGTGTCCATATTCATTATTGGTCTATTCAGATATTCTATTTTTTCATTTTTAGTTCTGGAGTTGTATATATATATATCTAAGAATATATAAATTTCTTCTAGGTTATCCCAAGTTACCTAGATAGTATACACAAAATGACTCTATCACTTTTCACAAAATAACTGTACTACTTTTCTACAACTGCATTTGAGCATGTTCACCCACCCCACTGCCTAAATGAAAATTCTGCGACCGCAGTTCTTCTTCATTTCCAGGTTTTAACAAACACTCTCATTTTCAGGAATTAAAATGTTCAGTCTTATAAAATACAAAAACAGCAATCTCTTTTCATACAGTGTGACACAAATTAGAATGTCAGCATTGTTAAGAGCAGCAGTCCTGTGATGAGACTGCCTGAGTTTCAATGCTCACTTTTTGTCACCTACTAGCTGTGTGACATTGATCAAGTAATTGACTTTTCAATTTCTTTATCTGTAAAATGAAGGAAATAATAGTATTTCTTATAGGACTTTTATGAGAATTACACTATTAATATATGTAAAGCATTTAAAACTGTACATGGCAGATGGCAGGTGCCACATGGTGTTGATTATTACTTCAGCCTGGATCTGAGGTGTGGGGAAGAGGGATATGGTAAGTTCTTTTGTTCAGCTAATTCAAAGATGGGTTTAGAAGGTGGGGATGAGGGTGAGAAAGGGTGGCAATATAATTTTTATGTATTTAATGACATTTTAAATTACCTTTCCTGTTGAAAGCCTTTTGATATGGCTGCCATTTAGTGACTGACTTTTTCTTACATGAAAGACTGCTGCAATTTGGTTGCAGGAAGCCCTCCTCTCCCGACAACTCTCACCATCACCCCCTTCGCTCCTGTGTAAAACATCATTCTCTGATTTGAACAATGCAGGCTTTAGCTACCACCTTGAATCTTCCCCCTTACTTCTTCCCTTGAAGTACCACCTACATTCCCTTTCGCCTTGGTCTTTCAGGAAGGTGCATGCCTGGCTACTTCTGTAAAATCCACTTGGTTCATGAAAATGCTCCTATACCCTTGCTCGATTAAATTACATGAAGGCAGGCCACTCCCACTGCTGTCATCTCTCCTCAATGTCTTTATTCCAAGAACCTATAGCAGAGCTTTTCACATAACAATATGTGCTGAATAAAT